CTGGATGCTGTGGCTGCTCTGTCTTCCCTCTGCTGGGCATCCTGTTCTTCCAGGGTGAGTGCACCAGCTTTATAATATTTTCTAAATATGATAAAAATATTCTAAAAAGTTGGTTTATATGTTTAAGATCTGCCAGACCAAAACTTAAATTTACTTACCTAAAACTATGGCAGGATTATTGGGTTAGAGTTAGAAAACTTAGATTCTGTTCCTTTCTTGTAGTGAGACCAGGGAAATGGATTAACTTCTCCAGGACTCCATTTCTCATTTGTGACATAGTCACAAAACTACCCCTTTTAAATTACAAGAAATTTTATAAGACCAAATGGGAAAATACTTTAAAAACTATAGCATTGTTAGAATATGTAGTAGTATGGGCGCACGTATGCTCTGCTGTAGGGCCAGGTAGTGGAAAGAGTGCATGTAGAAACTTCTGAAGCCATTTTTCCTGTAATAGAGGAATAGTGTTAATGCTAGTAGATAAAAAACTTTAAATAAGAAATTAGTGTTTGTTATTGGGAAATAGGTTTTGTAGAAGAATTAAAGTTTGTGCTGGTTCCTCAGTTTTGGTGTCATATTGTTAAAATATATTAAAAATAATTTTGAATAGTGTAGGTAAGGTAGGTTATATATTAGATATGTATCTCTATAAAGAGGTTTTCTGTAAAGAATTGAATAAGCTTTTCTATGAAGTTTCTTTATTAAATTCAGCGCAATTTTTTTTAACCTCCTCATGAGGGCAGTGATGTTTATTCTGGGATTGTGCAGGGAATCTTCAAAGAGTTCACGGAAGGATTCATTTTATCTTTTAATTCAATTTTTCCATGATTATTTTGAAGTACTCTTATACAACCATCCTTTTCTTCTCCCTTTTCTGTACTCTACCAGGCAAAGGGTTTGAGGGTCCCTAAGTACTAGTGCTGGCTGCAGAGGTACTAGTATATACTTGTATCACTACATTTCAAGCCTTATAATGTATAGTAAGAGTTATACAACATTTCTGTTAGTGTATTAGTTCTTCCGATATTTTTTACTTCCATGGCAATGATTAGCAATATAGTGTTAAGAGTTTATACTATAGAATCATATGCCTAGCTCAAATCGTACTTTGTAACTATGGCAAAATTACTTGACCTCTATATGTCCCCATTTTTTCTATTGTAAAGTGGGAATACTAATATCTACTTTAAAGGGGTGTGGGGTAGTATATTAAATGAAATAAAGTGCTTACTTAACACAGGGCTCAACACATTGTAAGTACTAATAAATATTAACTAATATTTATTCAATAAATATTATGAATCTGCTTTATTTCAGGCATAGTCCTAGGCTCTGTGGATACAGCCATGATCAAAACAAGTTTTTGCCCTGGTGCAGCTAATATACTGATGGCAGGAGGCAGATAAAAACAATTATAGCTAGAATGTTAGATGGTGTTTAAGGCAATGGAGGAAAACAAACTGAGTTAATGTGAGAGGGTAGTCATGGAGGACCTCGTTGAAAAGTCACAATAAAGCAAAGGAGCAAGCCTGTATATATGTGGGGAAAGAGTGTTCTAGGCAGAGAGAACACAGAGGCCCTGAGGAGAGGGGTTGGCTATTGCATATTAGGATAATATTATTTAGTATTCAGAGTAGTATAAGTATTATGAGGAATAGTATTAATGCCTAGAATTTTTCTAGTATCTACATTTTTAAAAGCACTTTCTATTCCTTCCTAAATATTTTATTATAAAAAAATTCAAACATACCAAACAGTAGAAAGAAATATAGAATGAATAACCATATACCTACTACCTAGATTCAACAATTAACATTTTGTTATATTTTCTTTATCTACAACTTTTTTCTGAAACATGTCAAAGAATGTTACAGATATCATATTTTACCTATAAATATTTAGCATGAATCTCTAAAACCTATTGTAATTTTCCTATATACAATCACAATTTTATTTTCATACTTAACAAAATTAATAATTTCTTAGTTTTATAACCTAATCTCAAAATCTGTTCATATTCAAATTTTTTCATCCTGAAATTATTTTCTATAGATAGTTTTTGGGAATCAAAATCCAGTCAAAGTTTATAAATTTCACTTGGTATGCTTCCTAAATCTCTTCATATTTTAGATCTCCCCTCCGTTTTTTCCTTATGACAATGACTTTTTGTATAAATGGGGCTAGTTTTTCTATGTTCTGGATTTGTCTCTTTCCTTTTGCTTTTTTCTGTCTTGTTCCTCTTCTCCCTATATTTTCTATAAACTGGAAGATAGATTTAAAATTGATTAGCTCCATTAAACATTTTTTTATTTGATAAGGATTTTATTTTATTTTATTAATTTAATTTAATTTTACTTCTCAAAATACAGTGTACTTGAGTACTTGATTTTCATGCCCCTTTACCCGTTCCTCCCCTAAGAATACTTCATAGTGCTGGCTTCATTATATTTCTTTCTTTTTTTTTTTTTAATTTTATTTTGTCGATATACATTGTGGTTGATTATTGTTGCCCCTTACCAAAACCTCCCTCCCTCCTTCCTTTCCTCCCTCCCACCCAACAATGTCCTTTCTGTTTGCTTGTCCTATCAACTTCAAGTAATTGTAGTTGTTATATCTTCTCCCCCCCCCCGTTTTTTTTTTTTTTTGTGTGTGTGTGTGTGTGTGTGTGTGAATTTATTTATTAATTTTTAGCTCCCACCAATAAGTGAGAACATGTGGTATTTCTCTTTCTGTGCCTGACTCGTTTCACTTAATATAATTCTCTCAAGGTCCATCCATGTTGTTGCAAATGGCAGTATTTCACTTCATTATATTTCTTCTTGTTTTTCTCAATGATACACATTTGATCACTGAGTAAGGTGGAGACAGCAAATTCTCTCCATTATAAGATATGTTTTCCCCTTCATATTAGCAAATAAACTTTAAGTAGAAATGCAAATAGAATCACAAGAGTCATCAATACTCACCTGCCAGAATGGCTAAAAATTTTTAAAAGTAGCAATACCAAGTGTTGACAAGTTCCAAGAACTTTTGTATATTGCTGGTAGTAGTGAAAATTGGTACAATGAAAATTGGAAAAATATTTGGCAGTATTACTAAAGCTGAAGCTATGTACATCATATGAACCAGAAATTCCATTCCTAGGTATATGCCCTGCGTAAATGCATACACTTTTGCACTAAAATACATTATTGTATAATCTTCATAGCAGTATTATTTGTGATAGTCCCAAGCTAGAAATAACACATGTACATGAGCAGTAGAACAGATAAATAAATTATAGCATACTCATATAATAAATACAGCACTGAAAAGAATAAACTGCTTTTATATGTTAACTACATGGATAAACCTCACAAAAAATGTTGAGCAAAAGAAGCAGTGACAAAAAGATTATAAACTGTATAGTTCCATTATATAAATTCAAAAACTGGCAAAATTAAGTGGTGATTATCTTAGTCTGACTGGGTTGCTACAGCAAAATATCATAAACTAGGTGGCTTATAAACAACAGAAATTTCTTTCTTTTTTTTTTTTTGTTTTTTTGTCCTTTTTGTGACCGGTAAGGGGATCGCAACCCTTGGTGTGGTGTCATCCACACCGCGCTCAGCCAGTGGGCGCACTGGCCAGTCCTATATAGGATCCGAACCCATGGCGGGAGAGTCGCTGCGCTCCCAGCACCGCACTCTCCCATGTGCGCCACGGGGCCAGACCAGAAATTTATTTCTTACAATTCTGGAGGTTGGGAAGTTTAAGATAAGGTGCTGGAAAATTTGGTGTGTGGTTGAGAGCCTGTTTCCTGATTTACAGATGGCGCCTTCTCGCTGTGTCTTCACATGGTAGAAGGGATAAGGTAGTTCTTTGGGGTGTCTTTTATAACGGCACGAATCCCTTTCATGGGAGATCTGACCTAGGAACCTTATGACCTAAGAACCTTTCAAGGGCCGTACCTGATAACATTGGTGATTAGGTTTCAACATATGAATTTTGGGGGGGACACAAACAGAATAATGACTACCTTTGGGGAAGGGTAATGACAGGGAGAGGCAAGAAGATGGCCTCTACTAATGTTCTGTATCTTAATCTGTGTGGTGTTTATAAAGGTGTGTGCACTTTGTAAAAATTCATCAAACTATACACTTAAAATTTGTGTTCTTTTCTGTGTGAATGTTATCTTCAATTAAAAAGTTCACTACAAAAATTTCTGTATATATTTGGAGCAAATTCAGTTTGGTTTTGATTACTCTACCTTTTAACTCCATTATATTTCTGTAGGAGTCAAAAAGTGACTTGGGTATAATATTAAAAAGATGAAGCTATGTGATATCAAAGAACAAACATATTTGGAGCTCTTTAATAGCTTTATTGCAGTGTATAGTTACAGTGGAGGATAATTTGCTAAAATAATCTAGTGGCCTAAAATTTCATGTTTTTAAAATGTGACAGTTGGACATTAGGGAAAGAAATCTTAATGGAATAATGTTTATATCAGGGAAATAGAATTTGGTATTCTTAAAATACCTGGGAGCACATAGTAATTTTGTGTTTATAGCTAAGCAGGAAATTGAACTTTGTAGTGGGTTTATTTTAGATGAAGTTTTTTTTAATATTTCTGTAGAATATCAAAATAGTCAATTTTGATTTGCTTCATTTGCAATGAAATTGCATATATTTCCATTTTACAATGAAGTAAGACTTGCTGTTATATGTCAGATACTTCACAGACTTCAGTGTAATGAAGTTGTGACAAGAAGCAAGACTTTCAATTCTTTTTTTTGCCATCTTTTTCAGTAGTGCACGCTGTGTTTATATACGGTTCGCTTTGAATATTCTCCTTTTCATAGACATCATGGAGTTAATTTCCTTTTTTTGTTTTATTTAATTTTAAAATTGAAGTTCAAAGGTTTAGTTTATTTTAGTGTCAAACAGGTGAAACATATTTTTATATTAAAATGCTTTGCTCTATTTCAGTCATTTAAAAGAAATTAATGTATTTCTAGGGAGTTCCAGTGGAATTTTTGGTGTTACATGATATTGATTTAATAATATCCCATGTGGAAAATAATATGCACACTGAGGAAATACGAGAGGATGAAGATGATGACGTGGAAGGTCCAGATATGGGTAATGTGTTGTAATGCTTGCCTCCCCTCTTCCTGCCCAGCACCCCTAAGGTCAGTGGAATTTCCAATGAATTAACTTTCTCATAGAATGTATTCACATTCAAGACTCTGTGAAGATCCCTGGAGAAATTTATTTTGAATCTCATTTTATCAAGTTGGTTAGGTGAAAAGAAGTAAGGATGCTGTATTTTGTTTAGTGTGATACCTTTAATTGTTACGGGTCAGGCTTCTAGCTTCCCATATCTATGCCTTTATCCTCCAAATCAGTTCTTTCAGCCTTTCTGGTATACTTCTTGTTTAATAACTACACTCAGAAGCCAAACATGATATTTCATTTTTATTATTCCTATTAGGAAATGAAATTATAATAATATTGTTGTAGTTGTAAATAAGTCTGATTGTTAATAGTATAGGGAGTAAATTCTAATTACATTTTAATACTTCTCTTTAACCGTTATTTCTGTTTTTAATTGCTCTTATTGCTAACAATTATGAAATATTTTATAGTTTGCAAGACTTTCCCCCCAACATTATTTACTTTGATTATTATCCTCTGAATTAGGTGATGTCACCTTCATTTTATAGATGAAGTGTCTGTGTTTCTGCAGAATTCAGTGATCTGCCCAGGGTCACACAAGTGGCATGTGGTGGAGCCTGGACTAAAACTTAAGCATTCTGACATAAAATCTTAATTTATTATCCTCATCATTCCTGATAGTTCTTTCATAACATAACCCTGAAGGTTAACAGTATTAGCAATTATAAGGAAAAAAATACTTTAATTCTCTGAATGTATTGTCTTCCTCCCTTCCTCCCTTCTTCTCTTTGACAGGAGAATAGAATAAACCTCCTGGGATCTATTATAAGGCCCCAACCACCTTCAACCCATTGCAAAATCCTGCTCCAACCACACACCACCTTTATCATTTTGTAGCAAATCCCAAATAAATAATTTTATCCATAAATATTTCCCTGTGTATTTCAGAAATATGACGATTCTCCTTTTTAAAAATTAACATAATTTATACTATTATTTCATCTAAAAAGATAGCAGTAATCCTTAATATCATCAGCTACCCAGTCAGTGTTTGAACTTCCAATTGCTTCATGCTTTTTCATGCCACTGGGCCTTTGCATGTGCTGCTCCCTTTGCTCTGTATGCTCCACTGCCTCTCTTCTCTTTCTAAGTTTTACTTTTCTTTTAATATTCAGCTAGTATCTACTCTTCTAGGAAGCTTTGTCTCTTTAATCAAGTTACATGCCTCTTCTGTGTTTGTGTACAAACTTCCAACAGAATATTTATGAATTCAAAATGTGTTTTTACCATATATATAGGTGAATGAATGGATGGATGGATCCATCAACCTATCTAAATTAATGAAATGTTTTTACATATTCGGAATCCAGTCATAACTTGACACACTTAAGATAAAATCCAAAATTCTTGGTTCACTTGGGCTCCTATGATCCAGCCACTCACTGCATAGACTAGAGTTTTCTCACACCATTTATTCCTTCAACCCTATCTTGTTCTAGTCAAATTTGCCTTCTTTCAGTACCTAGTATATGCTAAACCCTTTTATGTTTCACAGCCTTTACATACGTTATTCTCTTTGACTTAAAACGTTATTTTTTAAATTCTCTATCTGGCAGACTTTTGTGGACCTCTCAACCTAAATCTCCCTGTTATATCCCTCACTGTATCTTTTACCTTTCTTCATAAATGATAACAATTTATAATTATGTGTTTATTCAGTGATCAGTTTATTGCCTGACTTTTCCATAAATAGCAGCTCCATGTAGTCAGGGATTATGTCTGTTTTGTTTACCACTTTCTCTAGTTTCTACCATAATGCTTGGCATATAGTAGAAGCTAAATAAACACTATCAAATATGTATGGTAGGACCTTTTTGGATTATAAATTAGTAAATTTATTAGAAGCAAAATAATACAATTCATATTATTTATAGAAAAAATGAAATAATTCTGTAATTGACTAAAACTTCACAATTTCTGGGTTAGGAAACATCTCAGAGCTATTTAAGATAGGAAGCCAGGTAACTAGGAAGTCTTCTAAATATCACACATTTTAACTATTATGATAGTGTGAATACAAAAGTTTTTATAAAGCAACAAACTTTCATATGCATTCTTATGAGAAGAGCTTAAATATTTTTAATTATACATCTATATTTAAATTAAGTTCTTTTCAAATATTTTAGATATTCAAGATGATGAAGTGGCAGAAACTGTTTACAGAGATAGGAAGAGACAATTACATTTGGAACTGACTGTGGAACTAACAGAAGAGACATTTACTGCAACAGTTATGGCTTCTGACAGCATAGTGCTCTTCTATGCTGGTTGTGAGTATAAGCCTTTACAGGAGACTCATCTGTGCTACACATCAGGACCTTTAAAGTAGACAGACTTCATTTTTGCATCCTGTATATTACATGCTGTAAAATGACATAGCTTCCATATGTCTCAAGCAGACTACTCACATCGAAGCATTTATTTCTAATTGGTTCTGGAGTTGTAAAACTGTCTACATCTGATTTAAAAATTGAAGGTTAATGATTAACTAGACGTTAGTTTGTTAATTTTGAAAAATTATTGTGATTTAAGCTAATGTTTTTAAATATATTAACAGTTCTTATAGGTTTATAGTAAGTGTATTGCTTTTATTGTCAAATAGTAGCCATTCAGCTATATTCCTTCCAGTAGGAATACAGAAAATAGTTGTGTTTGGATCCCTCTTAAGTGTTTGGACTATATTGAGGTCTGTATACTAAGATATTTAATATTGAGAAATAACAATTTTGGGAAACTCCATACATCTGTATGTTTGTTATAGATGAGTGTGAGTGCTTTGGAGACATACATATAATATCCATTGAATTTTTTATTTTAATGTAGGGCAAGCAGTATCCATGGCATTTCTGCAATCCTATATTGATGTGGCAATGAGATTGAAAGGTATTGTACTGTGGTATTCATGTTTATTTTCCTGATTCTGAGCTGTAGCTATTTGTAAAACGATGTCATGCTAAAGATGTAGAAAAAAACCACATAAAATTTCAGGTTATCATTTTTGTGTCTCCAAGATTAGGTTAATAAACCAAGAGTTTCAAAAATGCTCAGAAGCATTCCTTCCATTGTCTTTAAGGAACTGCCTTTAGTAGAAAATAGCATATATATTAAGGAACTGCCTTTAGTAGAAAATAGAGAGCATATATATTAAGTACTGGTGGCCACACAGTTAATCCAGTAAGCTTTTTAGCTAAATTCAGTCTTCAAGCATTATTGAGTGCCTACTCTGTGCCAATCACTATTAAATGCTGGAGATAAAAAATAAGACCCAGTGTCACAGTCTAATGAAAGATGAAAAAATCCCAGTATTTTTTTTTTAATATAAAGAATAAGTTTTACTGAATGCAAAGAATTGACAACATATTTCTATAGGGTAATCAAATGAGTCATCACATTTGTGTGTGACATTCTTCTAGATGAATGGCGAGATACTGCTATTGATTGTTGAGAAAGAAAAACAGAAGGACAACAGGACAGACATTTTTCTTAGGCTTGTCTTTTTTCAGGACTGATATATAATGCCTTTTTTTCTCTGAGGGGATTTGGCATATGTTCTCTGTTTTGCCTCAAATTGATAGCTTTGAGGTTTCTCTTCCAGGGAGTGGAGCTCGCTGGTAAGTATTTTGCTGCGTCCTCAAGAACGTTCTTAACTGCTATGGGTTCGGCGTGTTCCCTTGCGTGCCTGGTTGCGGGGGCGGGTGGCCCGTGGCCCCAGTCTCAGGATCCCCCGGACGGCGGCGGAGGCGGAGGCGGCCAATCCCAGTGTTCTTGACGCTATATCATTCACTCTTCAGGGACTAGGATATTTGTTAATAGCCAGGATCTTTTTATTTGAACTACTCTATGAAACCTGATCCTAAGGAATGCAGATCCCCATTAAAAAAAAAGAAAAAAGAATCCAAGGAAAAAGGCATTAACTCAAAATGTCTATGCTATCATCCCAGCAAAGACGCAGTGAGAAGTAGGGAAGCCTGTTAGTAAGATAAATAATGATCGATTAGGTGTGTGTAATGTTTTGTAATCATTTGAATAAGACTGAATGTATCATGCTTTTTATCTGTAATATGATTTCTTCCTACTGTTCGTCTTGTAAATAGAAGCTATTATGGTTCAATAGACTTATTCCTAGCTACTCTGGGAACGTATCCACCTTTTAGTTTTTGGGGGCACTAGCATACAGGCTTTTTGATTATTTTTTAAGTTCCCTTATGGATAGTTAGAATGCCTTATACCCACCTCACTGGACTTGGCACATCGCCTTACATTGCAAAATATCTGTTTTTTAATAATTGTTGAATAAATGAATACATTAATATCGTAGAGTTTCATAAATTTTGTCTTATTTATTGGAATATATGTGATGCTGTATAGTTTATACATTGGGGACTTTTGTGAACTCAAGAAATTGATTCCGGAAACTCAGCTCTAAATGAACCATTTCTTTCATTTCCCAACCACATTTGATACAACTTTTGATTATTTTATTAGCCAGGGAAGGGGTAATTAAGCCTATAGATAATGTGATTCCTAATCATTTTTTTAAAAAGCAAATCCTGTTATTCGCTTTCAGATTTTCCTTTATAGTTGCAATCTATGTACAATTTTAAGTTTCCTCTTTTAGGGTTTTCAGCCTTATTGGCAAATAATTAGAAGAAAGGAAAAGAAGGAGAAAATACAAACCATAAGAAATAGCAATTATATAATGTCCCTGAATAATATAATTAATTATCCCTCCCAACCCATTTCGTTAGATACCATATGAAAATGGAAAAAGATTCCCTTCTTTCTTCCCTACTAATCAACAGATAAAGAGACTACCAGCTCCGTCAATGCAAGGGCTCTGAGTTGTATGTGTTTGTGTACTGAAAAAGCAGATAACCTACCCAGGACTTGCTTTCATTTTCATTCAGTATGTTCTTTATGAATAACAATCTTTTTAGTAATTAGATGTCAGATAAATGAACTAGTTTGGAAGTTCAATGGACTTAATGTAGAAATGCATAGTACAGGTAATTACAATGTTTTGTGTCTGTGTTGAAATCCATACTATAACTTTGTAAATTAGGAAAATAATGTAATACTTGGAGCACTTAGTCCTCTAATCTGTCTTTCATGGTGATTTCTTGCGAAAAAGCCATTTTTCATCTCTTAGTAGTACAAGAGGAGAAAAAAAATGTTTTATTCAGTCACAAGGTGGCAGCAAGTGCCAAACTTTATACTTCCATAGTCTCTCTAAGAATCTATTTTTTTCCTTTAAATTAGTAACCCTATTTGAAATTACTTTATTGATAAAGTATATGAGGTGCAACACTATAGGCATCTTAGAATATAAAACTATTCCAATTGAAACATGAGTAAATATTGAAACCATTTTACAGGAGAGAAAATAAATTTTTTAATTTGATAACTTCAATATAAGTAGCCTCACAACTTTTAATGATGTGTCAGTATTATTTTTCTAGTTTTAAAGATAACATTGAAGTTTTCAATTTCAACTGTGGGTACAAAGGAATAATAACATTTTTAGCAGTAGTGGACATGTTGAGGATGCTTATTGAAGGGAAAGAACTGCATCTGTAACAACACTGTATTCTGTACTTGGGTGGCAGTACCTAATACAGTACTCCATATGAACAAGCGTCAGTAGATACATTGATGAAATGCTTGAAATAAAGGATAAGAGAACCTTGTAGTGAAGTCACTTAGCAAGTCTGATTTTGGAAGGAATAAGGATTTATCTTTGTTTATATGCTCATACAATATTCAGGTATTAATATATTTTAATGTACAAGTTTTAAATTTGTTTATGAAGAAATATCAGTGTACATTCCACACATATTTATTGAGTACATACTATGTAACAGACATTGTACTAGGCAGTGGGTATGTAGTGGTGCATAAAACAGACCAGACTCTGCCTGTATTATCAAGCAGAATGTTAGCACTAAATCTCAAGTGATAAGTTATTGCACTTATGAGATATAATCAGGAATCTTTTAAAATATAAAAATGAATTTTTAATATTAAAAACTTTAAGTGATAAAATATTAAACTATTACATTTCACAATTTTAATCATATGGTTAGGTTACACTTAGGCTATATCCTAAATTGATAGGCAAAGATTTCCTCTGTGATCTAATATGACATTAAAGTTTATTTTTTGTTAGAATTTATTTCTTCCTTTTGGTAGCTGAGTTGTATGGTTCTTGTTTTATTTAGTGTTTGATTTCTTTCCATCCAATGATTTACATATTTTAGAGAACTTTACATATTTTGTTATGTAACAAGTAGAAATTTCAGTTTGAGATTCTACTGTGTGTATGCTTAGGCAGAAAAGAAGTTATAATATTTAGACAGGATGGGTACCTGAAGCCCTAGATGAGTCTCACATATGTCATTTGTTCACATGCATATTTTATGGTGCTTCATGTACAAGGACTGCTCTAGATGCTGGAAAATCAGCAGTGAGTAAAAGAGACACAGTCCCTGCTCTCATGGAGCTCTCTTGGTACCAACAAACATTAATCAGATAACCACACAAACGAGTATATATGAGGGGACTTCAAAAAGTTCACGGAAGAATGGAATTAAAAGATAAAAGTAAAACATATTAACTTTATTTCTCACCATAAGCTCCATCAAGTTCAAGAAATTTTTGTAAGCCATGACACCAGCCATTTAGTTCTTTCCAAAAGAACTGAGGGTCCTGGGAATTTAACCATGTCAATGCAGTTTTTTTTTTTACATTATTAATTGAAGAACAATGGGTACCCTATAAAGATTTTTTAAGATTAGGAAACAAAAAGAAGTCAGGAAGAGCCAAATCAGCACTGTTAGGTAGATGCCTAATGATTTCCCATCGAAACTCTCACAAAATTGCTCTTGTTTGAGGAGAGGAATGAGCAGGAGCATTGTCGTCATGAAGATGGACTCTTTGTTGAAGTTTCCCAGGTGTTTTTCTGCTGCTTTGGCTAACTTTCTCCAGACACTGTCATAAGTAGATGTTATCATTCTTCAACTCTCTAGAAAGTCAACAAGCAGAATTCCTTGAGCATCCCAGAAAACTTTTGCCATGACCTTTGCTCTTGATCAGTCTGCTTTTGCTTTGACTAGACCACTTCCAGCTCTTGGTAGCCACAGCTTTGATTGTGCTTTGTCTTCAGGATCACACTGGTGAAACCATGTTTCATCTCCTGTTACAGTTCTTCAAAGAAATGCTTCAGGATCTTGATCCCACTTGTTTAAAACTTCCATTGAAAGTCTGCTCTTGTCTGCAACTGATCTGGGTGCAACAATTTTGGTACCCATTGAAAGGAATGTTTGCTCAACTTTAATTTTTCAGTCAGAATTATGTGAGCTGAACCAACTGAGATGTCTGTGGTGTTGGCTATTGTTTCTGTTGTTAATCATTGGTCCTCTTTGATTAGGGCATGAACAAGATGAGTTTTTTCCTCACATCCTTTACATGGATGGTCTGCCACTGTGGGCTTTATCTTCAGCATCTTCTCCTTTCTTGAAACAAGTTATCCATTTGTAAACTGCTGATTACTTTGAGGCATTGTCCCCATAAACTTCTCTCAGAGTATCAGTGATTTCACCATTCCTCCACCCAAGCTTCACCATAAATTTGATGTTTGTTCAATTTTAGCAGAATTCATGTTGCTCTGGTAGGGGCTCTTTTCAAACTGATGTCTTATTCTTCCCAGTGCCTGAAACTAGATCCTGTTGAGACATGTTGTAAGAAGTTAGTATGAGTTTATTTTGGTCCAAAATAGTTTTGTAGTACATGCATAGTTTTTTCATTATACACATTTTCCACGAACTGTTTGAAGATCTCCTGTAATTACATAACAGATTAAGGAAAGGAGCATGGTTCTTTTTTTTTCCCCCCCTCTCTTGATACTTTGTTATTTATGCTGTTACTTTGTCAGATCTATCTTCTTTTCTTTTTTAAAAATTTTATTTATTAATTAATTTTTTACATTCTATGATGTTGCAGAGCAGTTTGGGGGAGGGGGAAAGAAGTAGGGGAGAGGGAGGCAGGAGGAAGGGTGGAGTTGAGGCCTGTGGCACCTCCCTCATTCCTGCAGGGGAGACCAGGGACTTCCAGCAGTGTCTTAGTTATTGCTGGGCTGGGTGCAGATGTCAGGGGGCTGTGGCTGAAGCCCTTGGGGCCCCCCACTGCCCCAGCTTGGGAGCCCAGGGTGCTTCTTGTGGCAGCTTGATGGTTGGCGCTGGGCTGGTTGTGGGGGTCGGGGTGTATGGCCGAAGGCCCTCTGCCCCCCACCACCCCAGCCCGGGAGAGCCCAGGGTGCTTCCTGTGGTAGCTCTATGGTCATCGCTGGGCTGGTCGTGGATGTCAGGGGACATGGCTGAGGCCCCCAGCCCTCTTCTAGGTGTTATAGGTGTTCTTTGGTGATGTGAGATCTTTACTAGTTAATATCAAACTTTGTCTCTGGTCTATGGTATTTTATTTTTTCTTTCAGTTCTGTGTTGGATTATTTGCTGTTCCTGAAACTTAAACTCTGCACTGGAACTAATTTGTCATCCTTTGCTTATTTCTAAAATGGAGGAACTTTCTGTGGGGACCAGTACTTCAGCTGTGTGATTGAGCTAACTTGCTGCTTTGCTGCTGGTTCCCTGGGGAAGGCTTTTTGTGCAGCTCAGGTTTTAATGGTTGACTTTATAGGTATTTCTGGCTCTCATGAGATCTGGTGCACCTGGGTTGTGTAGAAACTCTGGTCTGGGCCTGAGTCTTTTCATCAAAGTGCACCCCCTGCAATTCTATATTCCTGACCAGTCTCCACTGAGTGGTCCTGTGCTGATTGGGGGCAGATGAGCTGTCCTTTCTGTGTCCCAGTGTTCCCCCAGTGGGCCCGTCTCCCCACCGCCCACACCCCAAACACTTCCTATGGGGCGGGCCATGTGCTGGTCCCTTCCAATGACTCACCGGCCTCCGAGTGGCTCCTTTCTTTCAGTTGTTGTTATTCCTGACTCCTATGTGGGTCCACGGGAACCATACTAGTAGTCTTGCTGGCCTGGGAGCCACCAAGGCCCTCTTCTCCCCTGCTGCCTCCAAGCTTTTTCATATGAAGGGCACAGTTGTGGCTTTTGCCAGCTCCTGCTCCATGCACTCACCAGCTTCAGCCTTGAAGTGGCTGGGCTCAAAACAGTCAGAGCGGTCCTTTTTTTCTTTCATCATGTCTTCTCACAACTTCATGCACTCTGTAGGTCTCTCCTCCTCTTCCCCTTATCTCTAGTGGCCCCAAGTTGGCTGTCGTTGCTTTTTAATAGTTGTAAAGTGGTTGATTTGTGGGAGAGAGTGACTCTGGCGACTGTATGTTACACCATCTTGACCAGAAGCCAGTATGGTTCTTTAAGAGCATATATCAAAGGAACTCTATGTAGATCAGGGTGTCAGAGAAAGTTCCCTTGAAGTAGATACACAACATGATAAAGACCTAACTCTGTAAAGGTTGGTGGGCATGGACTGGTACCAAAACTGATTTGAGGTTTGAAAAGGTATCTCTAGTGTTAGTGTAGAGACACTGAATTCAGGGAAGGGAATTAGAAGCCTATTGTAGTTATCCGGAAGAAATGGCGACTAGAGTTGTGGCAGTATAGAGAAATGGACAGTAATTAGTGATATTTAAAATTTAGATGGCAATATTGAAAAGACCTGCTGACTGATTAGACATAGGGGCTTTGGACTGGGGAGGCATGAAAGATGATAGTTTGTTTTCTGAGTTGCACAAGAATGGTAACATTCACCTTTACACATAGGAAAATTTTGCAATAGTTTCTAATATAGGAAGGAGACCATATTTGGATTTAGACATGTTAAATTTGAGGAGAACAAAAAGAGAAGGCAGTAAGGATATATGAATCTAAAACTTCAAGGGGGAGTCTGGACCGAAGATATAAATTTAGGATTCATTGGATTGTCAATGATTATTGAGATTGTCTAGTAAAAGAGTGTAGAGCAAGAAGGGAAGGCAGCTTAAAATGAACCTGGAGGAACTCCCAACTCTACTGACAGAAGAGCCTGCAAAAGGGATCAAAAAGGAGAAGCTAGAGACATAGGAGAAAAGCCAATAGGGGAAGGTGTTGCAAAAATCAAGGAAAGAGAGTGTTTGTTTCCTGATGAGAGATTAAAATAAGAATGGGATAGAAAAATATTGAAAAAATGAGTGTTCTACATTAATAGTTTTAAAATGTGCATTTTCCTTTTATTTAGGTACATGCACTATGCTTCTTGCTAGAGTAAACTGTGCAGATTGGTCTGACGTATGTACTAAGCAAAATGTTACTGAGTTTCCTATTGTAAAGATGTACAAGGAAGGTGAAAACCCAGTATCTTATGCTGGTATGTTAGGAACTGAAGATCTGCTAAAATTTATCCAACTGTAAGTATTCAGCTTCACTATAAGATTTCTAAATTTTTAGGTCTGTACAAGTTCTAGTTCTCATACTTTCATGACATACTTTGAATAGGTTAGGGAGGATACTAGCATTGAGATCATAGAATAAATATTGATAAGGAAGTCTATGCATATTCCATGATTTTTGGGGAGACAGTAATTTTGTCTAATGAGGCTGATTTTTTAAAAGAATAATATTATTTGTATTTTGTCATATTGTGTGTAATATATTGTTTACTAAATTCAGTGTGTTTTATTTTTTTACGAACTAAAAATTATCTGTAAAAATTAATTTTGAAAGTTATGTATTCATCCAGCAACAGGATTTCATGTCCAGTGAACATAACATCAATTCAAGAAGCAGAAGAATATTTAAATGGGGAATTATATAAAGACCTGACCTCCTATTCTAGTGTGTCAGTACTGGGACTATTTAGTTCAACAATGACAACAGGTAAGTAGAGTTGAGCTTTTTAATTATATAATGTATAGTTAAATACTCATTGCTTAGTAGTTTGGTTTTTCTTTTAAAGAATTTCTTTTTAAATTATAGAGAATTTTGAAAATACAGAGAAGTTTGAGGAAAAAATAAATCATAATCTAATTATTTAGAGATACATACTGTTAAATTTTGAAATAGTTTCTAACATTTTTTTGTGTGTACCTATATATTGCATATTTATTATATGTTTTAACGTAATTGGCTAAAACTGTATATCTAGGTTAGTATCTTGCTGTTATTTTATTTAAGATCACATTGGTGTATTATTCCCATATGGTTAATATTCTTCATAAACATCATAGCTGCATAATATTTGATTGAATGAATATGTATAGCAGAATATTTTTATTTATGAGTCTGTGTGTATTTTAGATTAATGTTTATGGATTCTCAATAGAGTAACTGTTTTCTGTAAATTATATGTTACATGTGTTACTCATTTTTTAAATGGGGTTTTGGTGCTTATCTTATGAATTAGTATGAGGTCTTTATATATTAAGGATATTAAACTTTTGTCATTTTCTTCTAATTATTTTTCCCCAGTTTTTTGTTTGCTTTTTAAGTTTGTTTAGTAATATTATATATAGCACTTCAAAATTCCTTCTTAGAAAGAAAATCCTAGAAGGCACAGCTTTTAATGTTTATTTTCTCCATGAAAAATTGTGAAGTGAACAAGTCTCTATTTCACTCCTCCGTTTTCCTTTTCTAATGTTTTTGCTCCCACTGTTGACTTTGTCTTATATGTACCGTAGGTGCCTGGTGCCCTGAAGTTCTCATTTAGTATTTACACTAGGCTTCCTTCCAAGAAGAACTTAAGTCTTCAGATAATAACAAGCACAAATACAATAAAATCATTAAAACAAGGATAAGAGTTAAGCAATAAACAGTATGTAGAAAGTATAGAAAACACTGCAGTTGATCATAAAACTTAGCCCTAAGCAATCTGGTAGCAACCATTAGCAGAAAGATAAAATTTTTGCCATCTTATCATTATATAATAAATGGTGACATACAAGCTAGGATGCTAATTTACCCATAGAAAAAATTTCTTGATTGTAAATACTGAGTGGAATTTTTTATATTGTTTTTTTATACAGGGGATCAACATAGGAAACAGCGTACTTGATCATATTTCCACACAAATGATAAAATTTACATGTAGTCATCTCTCAACAAAAGTCAAAAGCATAATGTTAAATTATATAAAGGTAGTTCTGGTGTGCCAAAATGATGTAGTCTGGATATGATACTTTTTTACTATTTTACTAGATTGATTGTTCCCAACCTTTTCAGTCAGGTATTAGTTCCTCTTTACTTCTTTTAGTTTTGTTTTTTGTTTGTTTTCTGCATACATTTACATGAAAGTAGCTAAACTTTCAACATCTATTGAATGAGAGAATGTAAAATGATAAATGGCTATTATTATGAATTTATTAACATATTAATGTCAATTTGTGTTTTACTAATAAAAGCTAACTGCTGATATTTTCTGAGCACATTTTGTATAAGATGTTGATTTACTGTTTATATAGATTCTAATGGTTTTGAAGACATACAGTGTGAGTTCCATGAAGGCAGAAATGTCTCTTTTGTTCACTGGTATATCTGCCAGGCACCTGTACTGGAAAGTTACTATTTTTTATTTTGCAATCTATAAGTATCTTGTGGAGAGATAATCAAAAATTGTGTAAATATCCTGTTTCTCATTATATTTTTGCACTCTAGTTTTAGAATCCATTGCCTGAAAGAGCTCTTACTATGATGGTTACCAAATGGAAATTTTCTAATTCCACAATTTCTTGTACATTTATTGGTTGGCATACTACTGTTAAGACAAAGCTTTCTCTTCTCATTTGTTTATCAGTATGGATTCCTGAATTATTTTATTCAATGGATTATAATCAGTTACTGTTATTAGTTTGCTCAAACTGTCCTAGAGTTGGTCAGTGGGAGCTCCTTCAATCTGACTCCTATGTTCTTTTGACATGTCTTCTTCATTCTTTGAATATGTCCTTTGGGCACAAGATGTTCCTAGCCTCATTCCTAGAATCAGCCATTTCTCCAGTGAGTCCAGGTTTCTTTTAGTGGAAAATCGAATTTAGAAACCAAGATATAAGGGTTAGGAGTGCTTTCAGTTACTGGGGTGTTCTTGCTTTTCAACTCTCTCTGCTGACAGAGCTAAAAAAAAAAAAAAAGGCATATATGTGCAAGTGTGTGTGTAAGTACCATTATTCAATAAGATGTGATAGTAGAAAAAGCAATATTGCTAATATATTTTAATTATGCAATTTGAACTGCTATGAATCCTTCATGCATGGAGCTGAGGTATCATTTGGCCTTCACTTGACAAGAATACATCACTTTCATTTAACCGCATCTCTGATCTTTTCTCATTAATCTACAACAATTTAATGCAAACTTGCTTCTTGGTTATAAGATAGTCATTAACATGATCAAGAATATTCCATTATTTATGAAAATGTATTCGGAAATCTACAGAAAATAGTTTTTATTTTGAATATGTGTATTCTAGCAAATGAGAAAATACTCATAACACCAATTAGTCAAAGTACAGAAGTAACAAAAGGACATTATAAAAAATGCAGGAAGTAAAAAAAGACACAAATTCCTCATAATTGGACAACTGTCACACAGACACATTGGAGGACTAGAATTTTAAGTCTTCTGCTTTTTTTATGCATATAGGCACTTTTAGATTTTTGTGATTATAATGTGTACATCATTTTACATCCTGCTTCTCTTTCCTGACTACATATAGGACAGCCGTCTCCATTTACATTGCCTTAGGAGTAAATTAAAAAGCAACAAATACTTATTCAGGAACTTTATGATTACAGTGCACAGTGCTATCAATCTTATAAATTACATTTACAGTACATTTGTTCAGGAAACCATTGCATTATATCAATTTACATTTCCTTAGAAATCAAATGTCATAAAATGAGCCCATTTTAGAACCACTTATTTATGTAAGGTGTCTGCATTTAAATATTTATCTTTGTAATTGATTAATAATGAAATACTACTATCTATAAATCTGTTGAACAACACATAATTTTAAAGGTTTCAGATTGTTGTCTTGTCTTTGTTTATAGCAAAAGAGGATTTCACTGAAGCATGTAACTACCTAAAAGGATATGTTATAACTGCAATTTATTCTGAAGAAGATGTTTTGATACTGTAAGTTTATTGCTCTTCCAATTTGGGGGAGGAAGAAGTTATGCAAAATAATGAATTGCTTGTCTTTACACAGCTGATGAAGGAAGATTAGACAGCAACATACATAAAATTTTAATTTTCTTCTAGGAAGATTTGGGAATTACCAGGCAGTTTAGATTCTTAGACATTCTTTTACTTTAGGCCCAAGACCCCCACAGGGCAATATTGTATTCAGACTTTTTCATCCTCCTATAAAAATTTTCCTCTTTGGATTCTATTACATGCAGTTTTGGTTCTTTGGATTGTCATAGTTTTTGGAGAACTTTACTTCTTGAGCATCTGAGTTTTTATTTGCCACCAATGTATGTATTTTAAAAATCAGTGCTTTTTTAGCCACTTAAATTGCTTTATCTGTAGAAGACGGGGTTCCTATGGACTAATGAAATATTTTAGTTACTGTAGAATGAAGTACTGATCTGAAAACTTGAAGATTATTATTAATACACACTTCATTATATATTAATGGCTCCTTTCCAGGTGCAAGTGGACTTGTCAAGCCCCACTAGTTTGTCTTTCTTATGTTTTGACTATCATATTCCTAATGGTGATTTCTGAGCTTACATCTTTCATCTTGAACACTGGTGACATATGCTCTTAATAATTGCACTTTTGTTCAGTCTGTGAAAGCAGTGACTTTTGAAAAGTAAATACTGAACTAGAAAATATGAGACCTATCCATTTGACTCATGGGTGGTCACCCACTATCTTCTACTCTGCTGTCATTCTGCATTTAACTATGAACCAAAAAGTGAAATCAGTAGTTTTCACTCCACCTGGTCAACTAAGGGCTCTTCTAGGTGGTCTGAGCACTGGGCTCTCTACTAGTGCTTATAATATTATAATGTCTGTACTTTGTTCTGGCACAAATTAAGTTTTTATATATGACATAAATGTGACTACCTCCCTGGTAATTTCACACAAAGCATTTTTCCTATTTAATTGAGAGAATTTTCTTTAAGGTTTAGTTAGCAAAAGTGGTGGTGGTGGGTGGATTTGAATTCTTGTCTCAGTGGAGAGAGTATAGGCTCTATGTCTGGAGAACCTCATTTGAATTCTGTGTCTGCCATTTATAACTCTCTGAGTTTTCTTTCCTCATCTGTAAAATGGGATGATAGCGAATACCTTAAAATGCCGGTTAAATGAAAATGTAACTAAAACATCTTAGTGTAGTGCCTGACATATAGTAGATTTCTCATAAATGGGCATCTTATTATTCAGCAGTGCCGTGAGCAGTCTAAAAAGGCTGAGAACCATTCATTGTGTTCTAAATCCTATTTAGACATTTTCTCGACAAGTAAATTGTATAGAAAAAAATCTGGCTAGATTATTATCTGTTGCTTTCTTTTAGTCTAGGTTGTCAAGGCTCCCAGACTTTCTCAGATAGCCTCACATAAAAGATCAGTTTATCTGGAAATTGAGTTCATTTTTTTTCCCCTTAGCAGTAGGGCTTCCCATTAGCTGCCCCCCACTGTGACTTCTTGGCCTAATTTTTCATGTTTTTGATGACTTGCTATATTTTGGTTGTGAATTTTAATACTACCTTTCTCCATAGATCAAATAAATATGGTGCAACTCTTCCAGCTCTGCTGCTTGTCAGACACAAAGAAGGCAAAATAGAAAGCATTCCACTGTCCAGCACCCATGTGCAAGATATAGTTCAAATAATAACAAATGCATTACTGGAGACATTCGTGAGTATATTTTATAAAAGCATGTTAATCAAAATAAAACCTAGATCAGTTAAAAATAGTATATATTAAAATGATTTTCCAGCTTTTGCTGGCACAGGGCATGATGTTTTGTGAGCTGCTCTGTTTTATTATTCACTAATTATGCATACAGTCTTTCTAGCCCACTGCTAAAAGTTTACATGTCTTGCTGAGACTAGTGTGACTGAAGGCCAGTTGAAGTGCATAATCTAGGGTGAAACTCATTATAAAGCATATGGATTCTGGAGAGTCAGACTATCTGGCTTCAAATTCTTGCTTGATTCCTTACTGGCTGTGTGTTAAGTTCTCTGTGCCTCAGTTTCCACATGTGTAAAATGTAGGTCATAATCGTACCTGCTGCAAAAAGTTATTGTGAGGATTAAATGAGATATGATGTATATAGTGCTTGGTGTACAGTGTTTGGCCCATGGTAAACATTCAAATGTTAGCTGCTATTCTTATTATTTATACAGTTTTAGAACAAAATACTGTCTTATGAAAGGTCTTTTCTAATGCTTTACTTTGTATAATAGCAGATTCAGGGTTACAACAGATATAAACTGGATTACTTGATTTCAGTTGTTTTGCATTTATATTAAACATAGCTAGAATATTATAAATGTATACTTTTCTACATTTCTAAAGTGACACCAGGAAACCACTATTAACCAGCTATAAATGCTGAATAAATATCCTCTTGTGATTGTTTCTTATCATGATGATCTGAATGACATTATATTTCAGGCTCAAATAAATGACTGTAATCTTTAAGTCTTTTTGTGACCTCAGTTCTATCTCCTCTCTCCCGCCATTTAACTTATAGGTTATAATTAATCAAATCATTGAGTTAATATTTTCAGAATATAGTTTTTGAAATCATTTATTAAAGTAACATTTTTGTCTTTAACAACATGTTATTAAGTAAATATTGCCTATAGTATAGTATTTATAAGAATTATTATAAGCCTTTAACGTTTTTTCAGATAATACAAAAAACTATGAGGAAGAAAATTACAATCAATCATAACTTCTCTAAACAAGTTTAAATTTAGAAATATGTTTCCCTGAACTTTAAAATCTGTGTCTACATGTGTGTCTTTTTATATTAAGAGTATTTCCATCAAGAAATGTAGATATGTTGGGGCCGGCCCGGTGGCGCACTGCGCTAGTGCGCGGCTTGGGAAGCGCAGCGGCGCTCCCGCCGAGGGTTCGGATCCCACATACAGACCGGTTCCCGCTCACTGGCTGAGCGAGGCGCAGGGGCAACACCAAGGGT